AAGTGACCAGCACACCCCATCCTAGTGTGCAGCCAATTTTCTTTTTCCCATCATTTTTCCCTTAGGCTCAAGTCCCTGTATCTCATTTTCTGTCTGTGGATACTGATGCACCAAAATCCTGGATCCTCTTCCACACTTTTTGCCACTTGGCACTGTCTCCTGTAAATGCTGCAGAACCACAGTAGCTGATAACATTGGGTGGCCTTTTGTACTGACATTTCAGCCTCTCACAAACTAGAACTGGCCTTATCTGTTGGCCACAGTGCCTGAGGCTTTTCTTCTCACTGGCTTTTTCTTCCAGCTGCCTACCAGTATGCAAAGGCAGAGATTTCCAAAGGAACAACAGGTTTCCACTTCTGCAGCAGAAGAATGGAGTCAGGGAGAATCAAAAAATACCACAGATACAGAACAATACCTATTTTTATATAATTAATGTACTACATTATTGATGCTTCAGATTAATTACATCCAACCTCATCAAACAATAGGAATTATTTCCTGGTGAGACAAAAACAAGCACCACATTTTTATTGCTGTTTTAGTATTTTCATTGATTCAAGATGCAGAAAAATCCATACACACACAACGTCAAACCTTCTCAAAGTGAACTGAAGTGCAAACACACTCTGCCAGCTCAGCTGTGGTGTTTCACACCACCCACACCTCAGTGCCCCCATTTTCTGTCTGTATTTCTAGTCTGGGCAGTGGGGTTTGTTTGCTTGATTTTTTTTCCTCCTCCTCTTCCTTTCCCTATCATCTTCCAGCAAGAGAAAAAGAGAAACAGAGTGGGGAGAATAAGAGCGTGTAACAGAAGTTGTCCATTACAAATCCAACTGGAACAAAAATTTTCTGTTGCAGATCACTTCAAAACAGATGTTTCTTTCATAATCATGCAATCGGGAGGCAAACAGAGAAAAAGGAAGTGAGCGCATCCTCCCAAGTGCTGCGAGTTTTGTCGCATCCAAAAAGACACATTTTTCGTTCTGAAAGAATTGAAAATGTGTCAAGCTGCTCCAGCTATTAATCCACACATCCAGTCTGAACTGGGATTGACGTGGTAAGCAGTTTGATATCAAGTCTGTACTGGTTACTTGGCAATAGTTTAATGATTATCTTGGATGTGATTAATGAAAAATACTATTAAGAATAATCATGTTGCACCACACCCTGAGCTGACTTCCACCCTGTCCAGCGAAGCCTCTCTGTGTGGCAGCCAAGGTCTTATCCGGGCCCTGCAGGCAGCGAGACCCAGGCAGGGCTTACTGAGGACCTCAGGAAGAGCAGGAGCCTCTCCTCTTCCAGTAAAACTTTGATTTTTCCTGTCTATTGTTTCCTTTCTGTGCGTGGCAGTGAGATGCAGCCCCCCCTCAGCCTGCCTGGCAATGCCCTGTTGCTCAGCAACCCCACACTTGCTGAGGAGGCTCTTTTGCAGCAGCAAACCTGTGCTGAAGAGGAAGATGGGATGATGTGACACCGAAAACCTGCCGTTTAGGATGGCCAAGCAGCAAGATCCCTGTGAGCAGAAGCTGGTCAGTAGCAGCGAGGATCCTGGTGGCAATGCCAGCTGAGGGGCAGCAGCACTTGCACCTTCTGCTCCTCTGCATCTGGGCTGTTCTGAAATATTTACTGGTGATTACCCAAAATTAAAGGGCTAAATTAAATTCAGCTAATTAAAAAGGGCTCCTGGTCTGCACAGCCATTTCCAGTGTCCCCGTTAGACCCAGAGCCGCATTTTGCTCAGGGTGAGCCAGCCAGCAGCACTAGTGAGATGGGGAGAGGGCATCTGTAAGGCTTTGATGACATGAAACCCACCCCTGGGGGCAAATGGCATTGTTCAGGGCAGGTGGGCAAGGGACAGAGGTGGAAAGAGTCAGTGGGGAATAGCTGGATTGGGTGGAAAAGCGGAGGCAGGTTAAGTAAAAGGTGTATTTCATCCCATGAATAATCCAGAAAAATCAGCCTGTGCTCCCCTCATTTCCTCCAGAGCCAGCAGCACAGGAGGGCAGGTCCTCTCCCACCTCGATGAGCAGTCAAAGATCAGAGCTATACCCATCCAAACCCACAGCCATGGAGCTCTGCAGAGACCGGGCATTTTTGGGACCCGGAGGCTCCAGTGGTCTGACTTTGATAGGGCAGAACATGCATATTGATTAATATCAGAAATTTTTAGTAATTATAATTTCTAGAAACCAACGAGGCTTTTCTGTAAGGGCCACTGGCTCCATGTACTCACATGGTCAATGGTGTTGCATAGAAGTGTCTTGTTACAAGGTTTGTGAGAGTCCCCTGGGATCATTAGGGCCAACCCAATGGCAGCTCCAACAGACACCCCCGTGACCACTGCCCTCAAAAATCCCAGCTGGCACAAGGAGAAGATCTAAAAGGCCTCTGCAGACCTGTTTGTTCACCACCTGGCCACAATACCACCAGAAGGAAAGGAAAACAAATACAGCGTTGACGTTACCTGCTGAACCACCTCGTCCAAAAAGAGGCTGCTTTCAAGAACCACAGCCCCTCTCACAACACACAGCAAGCTGGGGTTTCTTTCCTGTCACTTTGGGCTAGTGCAGACCTATGTGTACTTATTTTTAAGCTTTGGTTTTCAGTGCTGTGAACATGAATGAGTGTTTCCTACACACATCACCTGTGCTCAGGGACTGCCCAGCCTGACAAAAATGTTTGAGGGAAGGAGGGGGCCCAGACCCTGGGGGCAAGTGCAAATGCCAACAGTAAACTTGAGGTGGATATGGTGGAGGAGCTCCCACTCTTTGAATAAAAAGTTGCTTTTATAACACTTCAAGGTGATGCAGGTGTGATACACTGTAAGAAAACTTAATTATACGTGGGGAGAGATAAACATTACTTCACACGTGCCCAAACTACACAGAAGTGCAAGAACAACATCGCCATTGAGGCATCATTAATAGCACAGAAACCCTGCTACCCATGTAGTGGTTTTTTGTGCCAGAGCATGGGGTTTGCCATGAGAAAGGCCCAGTTACCAGCCCCAGGGGCTGAAGCCCTTCTCTTTCCATGGGGCAGGGGAGGATGAGGCAGCAGGAGATGGGAGCTTGGATCTCTGCTCCTAAAATTGCAACAGAGAATTGAAGACAGAAGGCAGGCAATTAAATTAGTAAAGAAACCGAGGGATGTGTATTTTATATGTTATGCAATGAAGATAAAGACAGACTGCTGGTGTGGAATTTTTGGTGCCATCCGGGGAAGAGCTGGGCAGGGAGCAATGTGAACATGGACAATGTTGCAGAGCTACTGGCAGGAAACCATGGGCAGGGCTGATTCCTGCAGAGGGGAGAGGAACAATGTACCGGCAATAGGAAAGGACAGGGATAAACTTCTGGGAGTGGGAAACAGCTAATCCTAGTGTTTAACTCTGGTGTGTCTCCTTCCACCAACATATTTTATACTGGAATACAAGGCCAAATGTGACCATAGCACAATGCAGAGCTTGTGAGCTGAATGCACTCGCTGGCGTATTAGCACCATCCATCCCCTCTCCTTCGCAGCTTCCCCAGGGTTTATTACATCCCTCTTCCCTCTCAGCAGGGCTCATTATCCACCTCTGTCTGTGCTGCACCCTGTAGACAAACCCTAAATGTCACTATCTCCATTTTGTGCACAGGGACACAACAGGAGACAAAACAACCTCCCACAGGGGTACAGAGCCAAGAAGAGACCCCTGATGCCCCAAGTGCCACAACTAATGAGCATCTGTGCTTTAAAGGGCTGCCTTGCCTGTTAGGATTGCCCTCCTCCAGCAGCCCCTCCAGAAAGCAAGGGACAATGACAGAGCCCAACAGGCACCCCTGAGGCTCTTACACCCCTTAGTCCCAGCAGGCTGTGGTTAAACACTGGAGGGGATAATAAAGGCTACAGTGCACCTTTTTTTTTTTTTTTTTCCCATTAAAAATGTGATAGGAAATGGCTTTTCCATGTGGTTGGAGTATTCCAGGTGGGGATGAGAAGTCTCCAAAGCCTCAGTCTGCTCCCATGGTGAGATATGGCCTAGGAGAGCCTCCTGTGTCAATCAAAACATGATGGAGAGGACCAAAGTCTGGTGCCACCACAACAACACATGTACTGCCTGGGGCCAGGGTACCACTCGCTCCTTCAAGATGTGCTTTCCTGGCCTTGATCAGCAGCTTGCCAGGGCCCATGCCTACATCCCAGAGCTCCTGTCCCGGGAAAGTGCCCCCAGCACCCCAGCCAGGATGGGTATCCAGCAGTTTAAGTCACTTCCAAATCTGTGACCTAACGAGAACAGCTTTTGGGTGTGATCACAGTAATTTCTAAGTGTATTTGAAACCTCTGACATGCTCCTGAGTTAGTCCCCATTCTTTTCCCTGGCTTCTTTCCTGTGCCACTACCATCAGGAAAAGGCATTCAAAGCACACTGAAAATCTCCATTTTCCAAGAGGGGCTTAGAGGCCAGGCTGTTAAGTCAGCTGGGAGTTTTGGAAAGCTTCAGGCTATCCCGCTTTCTGTGGCATGAAACACTGTGCGCAATTCCTGCTAAACAATGGTATTCTCAAGAAAGAGAACAGCGATGATTCCACCTGACAGCCTTTTCAGGGCTTCTGAGAGGAGGGCAAACTGAGCCAAGAAAGCATCCAAGAAGTCAAGCCGTGCCCCATCACAAATCTCCAGGAATAAAGCAACACCAAGGGTCTGGCTTCTGGTAAAATGTGCATTTCTACCACGCTATTACTCCTCCCTGATCAGTTTTTACTATGTGTCCGCCACATGCCCTTTGCTCCAGCGACAGGATATCCTTCATTTGTCTGCAGCAAGTGCAGATGAGCACTCCTTCATGTTGTTTTCCAGCTTGGCTGATGGGAGGGTCAGCAGGGGCCAAAGCAGCTGCACCAAGTAAAGGAAAGGTAACCGTGGCAACCCAAGTTATCTGCATCCTCCATGTATTTCCTTCTCCCCACCCTACATAATATCTTTCCCACCCAAACCTCAAGCCAATAGAGCCGGTGACCAGCTGGCAGGATGGGGACTGCGGAGGGGTCTCCTGCACCCAGAGTGTCTTGCTGTGTCTCGGGGCTCGCCACTGCAGGCTGAAGTCATCAAAAAGAGACCGAAAGCATAGAGAGGGATAACTTGCAAAAGGCAGAGCTCTTCACTCCTGTAGATGGGGCGCTGGATATGTTGCCTTTGCTCCAGAGTTGCAGACCCATTGATGCTGCTCCTGGTTTTGGCTCTGAGCTGTAGCCCTTCCACGGCAGCAACAGCTTCTCCATCTGTGCCCCACGTCAAACCCAGCTACAGTTTTGGCCGGACTTTCCTGGGACTTGATAAATGCAACGCCTGCATTGGGACATCCATATGCAAGAAGTTCTTTAAAGAAGAAATAAGGTCAGAAACTCAGCACAGTAATTTTTAAGGCATTCTGCATAGTAATTTGAAAGTTGCCTTTTAGAATTTCCAAATACTTTCACGAATGACAATGCAAAGGGCAACTTAGCATCTGGTTGCCTTTACAGCGCTTAGTATTTTAATTAATGTCTATAAACTGCTCTTTTCTTTTAAAGCAACTCAAACATGATCTAACCCCAGGCCTGAACTGTAATTTGAAAGCAGGAGTAAAAGGCACAAATTTCTGCCTAGAGAGTGGCTCTAAAACAATTCAAAGCAGCGATGAGGGAAGGGAAGAGGGGAGGAAGAAATCAGCTTGTTTAGATTTACTGGCAATATTTTGTTATCACCAACTGACTAAAGGCAAAGGGGGTTTAGTCTTGTATGCTCCAAACTGAGTATGTTAACTACAAACATATAAACATGCTATATAATTTTGTACCAGGTGCAACAACATGAATGTGCAGAATTTCACGTGCGTATCAACTAAGATCAAAAACGATCTAAACCTGCCTGAGGCATGAGGACTTCTGCACATCAAGCTACCCATACGCTCAAAAATAGATGTGGCTAAATTATTGGTGCACTTTGGGGGGTTTTCTGTGAGGACTTGAAGGCAGAGACAGAAATTGCATCTGCCTCGATGATGATGATGAGACATAACACTGTCCAAGTGGTCATCAGACCAATCCAATCAGTTTTAGGCTCAAAACCAGTGTGTCTGACAGTAACAAGGAAAATGTTGCCAGTTGTATTTGAGGACAAAGTTAAAGGCAGTGCTTGGCAGAGGAAGGGTTTATTGGGTCTGATATGATTTATAGAGCCATATGCACTTTCTTTTATAGATATAAAAGCCTGGGGGAGAAGAAATTATTATAGTAAAATTGTATTTTTAATGCTATAATGTAAGTAGTATAGTATTAGACAAATCACCATTTTTATCTTAAACTATCCTATAAAATGTAGCATAGTAAAACCATAATGGTTTGTCTGGGATGGACCTGTAATACTCAATATCCATCCTTCCCTTGCTACTGCTGCAAAAAGGCAGCTTGTGGTCTTGCTAAGCCAGAGCATCCCTTTGCCATGGCACATCAGGGGGCCCAGCCCTGGATGGCTGGGAAAACCCTTTGGCTTTCCATCTCCACAATGCCAGAGTGAGCAGTAAGTGAGGTGCAGAGGCACCAAGAAGGCCCAGGCCAGCAGTGCTGGGTTTCTCCCAGCCCAGCCTGAACTGCTGTCCCAAAATGCAGGACAGATTTGCAATCAGTATGCTCATCTGGCTGACGGGGGCTGGCGTGGATCTGCAGGGGCTGGGGGTGAATTCGGGGTGTGGGCTGCTCTGTATTTTATTCCCTGCAGCAGGATGGCACTGGAGCCAGCTCCTGCTCCATCCCCCAGCCTGCTGTGGATCCCTTTGCCACTCACCTGGGCAGGGTTTTTAGGGACCTGCTGCCAGGTACAAAGCAGGTTCCACACGCGCACCTCGTCGCAGGCGCACCCGTTCGGTTACTCCTGCCCCGTCACTTGGGAGGCAGGGGTGGTGCAGCTTCCTTCAGCCCTCCAAAAATAGCAGGAGCCTTCTGCAGCGAGCAACTGCCTCTGGCTGGCTGCTGGCCAGCTGCATGTGCACCGGGGTGTGGGGAAAAAGGTGCTACGTGAGCGAAGGCAGGAGGCCCCCGTGCTGGCTTTCCTCCGGGGGGGCAGTGGGAAAGGGGTGCAGGTGTGCAGAGGGTCCCACTGGGGCCAGGAGCGCAGAGCCACAAACGTGGGGGTACGATGCTTCTGCCTCAGGGAAAGCAGAGGGGCTTCCTAAGCCAAAGACTTTTTTCCCTCTCCAGCCAGCCCGCAGTTGGCTCCCCACCAGCCGCGTAGAATGCAAATAAGTGATAACGTGCAATTACGCTCTGAGCACTTTGGAAACTTAAAAATGTTCTCCTGAGCAGCCACTCAGCTTCAGGCTTTCCTCTGCAGGGGTAAAACTTGCTGTCCCACTTGATTTCTTGAAAAACTGGGATTTTTTTTTGGCAAGTGGGAGGTTAAACAGGGGAAATTTCAGTGGCACTTACTCTCTTTGATCAGCCCTCATGTACCTTTTCACATGTTCACAAAGGTGGAGGGCACTTGGTGCTTCTCTCTGTTAATTCACATTAGAGCATGCTTCATTAATTCTCCATAATTTTTTGGGAGCTGTGACATGCCTTTCACAGTAAGAAGATGTGGGTTTTGTTCCCAGAACGGCTGGTGACTCATCTTGTGCTCTAATGTTCTTTACTTCCCTTATCTTTGCCCAACTTTATCCATCTGTAAATGAGAACACCAAGCTTGCCTACCAACTGCACCAAGAGCAGAGAAATTGAAAGTTTCTGTAAAATACTAGACTTTCAAAACACTGCAAAACTGAGCTGACCAAAACTATTTGCAGACTTGTGACGATGCTGGTGATGAGCTTTGGCCAAAAATAATGGGAAAGAAGTCTGCAAAAGCTGGAATGCTTAGATTTTATGGGGGTCTATATGGCATTTCTTTATTTTTTTGTTTTAAGACTTAATATTTTTTCAAAATGTAAAATTCTAAATGCAAGCAAAATTATTTTGGCCAAAACAAAATAGTTCATTCAGGAAGAAAAAAAAAAAGAAAAGAAAATTAAAATAAGTTTGAATTTCTTCAGGATTTAATTCTAAGTTGATCTAAAACCTGTAATCTGTGACTCACATATTCATACAGATCTTACTGAAAGTCTTAATTAAAGCACATTCAGGCCCTCAGCTTCATCCAAGAAGTGAGTTGTTGTTACAGCACAACTTGATGATGAATCTTGAAAGTATCTAACAAGTGTGCCAGGCCAGTGCTATGCTGCCCAGAAATTATGCCAAATACAGACTTGCTGCAGCCCATGCCGGGTTCCCAGGCCTGTGTGGCTCTCCCCCAAGAGCTCTGCAGAGAAAGTCACTCTATCCACCCTCAAATTTCACATGGATTTCACACATCCATGCGCTGCTTGCACACGGGAGGCGGCACTTTCCTGCTATCTGCCTGACGTGAGCTCCCCTGAACACACAGGTTTGAGCCAAATCACAGGGCGTATTTGTGCTTAACTTACTTTAAAAAAAAAAAAAAAAGGAAAGAAAGCAAGAGAAACCCAGCCCAGCCCATTGCCATCTCCTCCCTGGAGTGCCTGGCCTGCTTTGCAGATTAGGTACTGGGAGGGGTCCTGATGCATAGCAAATCACAGTGAGGCACAGCAAATATTCTCTGCTCTTTAGTCTTAGCTCAAAACCAGACCAGAAAAACCTACCCAAACCCAAACCAAGCTTTTTCCTTCATGCCAGGTGCCATAATCTCAAGGAAACTTTAATTTCATATTGGGCAAAACACCCGAAGGACCAAAATACTGGAACCCATCAACATGTTCACATGAGGGGCAAGGTTCCCTCACTTCTGGTCAGCCTGTATTTCCATGGCAAATTTTAGAAAGGAGGGACATGAATAGAGCTGAATGTTAAATGAAGGCAAGCACCAGAGTTTTCCCCCTCTTGGGCACCCATGTTTGCCCCAGAGTTGAGCTGCGCAGGGTCTGTGGTGGAGAAGGGGAGTGAGGTGCTGCCTTCAAGAGGGATCTTGGAGGAGGAGGTAGATCAGCCTCCGATGCTGGTTTGCATCACTGAGTCAGTTGTTTGCCTGAAGTCAGAGGAAATTAATCCCCCCAAAATTTCTGTGTGCCAATTTCCCATCTGGAAGTTGAAACGACAGACAAGCTTCAGCTTTCAGATTTGTTAAAGTCTTTTCATCCAACTCCAGAAAGCTAATCCTGCAGGGAACCTCTTGCCTCTCCTGTTTCACTTCTCAGCTACTGGCTCTAATTTATGGTGAGAATAAACTGGGACGTGCTCTCTTACACACTTGGGCAGGGAGGTTGGGACAGGAGGTTTCAGGGGCAGCGAATGCAGGACCTTGGCCAAACCAAAGGTCAGAGTTCAGCCTCTGTCCAAGAGCAGGTTACAGACACACTTACAGAGAAGGCACCACTCTCCTCAGCTCAGGCATGTGCGACGCGTGTGTGGGCAGGGCTGAGGGGGCTGCTGAAACAAAAAAAAAAAAAAAAAATTACCTAATTACCCAGCCCATATGCTCCCCTCCTGTGCCTGTGTAGGGGGAGAAAATTAGTGCAAGATCTCCATGGCTACAGTGGTGCTACACGCCCAGGGCACACGTACCCTGTCCCCCCAGTGCACCCCAAACTCTGCTGCTGCTGGGGAAGTCACTCATCCCTCTTGCTAAAATACCATCAGTGGTGTTAGGGGAGACATGTTGACCCCAGTACTGAGTAAAGCCACCACCTAACAACAAAAGTTCATTTCGATATTCCCAAACACATCTATTGTCAGGAGATTTTATTGTCAGGAGGGTCCCTTTAAGCGTTGAGGACTCCTTTTTTGGGAACCTATCTCTAGGGTTAAGGAAATTTAAAACCACCAGGGGTTCTTCAAGAACCAAAACCCTGCGACCCTCTCCCTTTCCTCCCTCTCTCTACATGGCCCCCAGAAAACCCCCTTTGGATGTTTTAGCCCTCGTCCCATTGGCACTGCTTGTGACGAGGGATGGTGTTCATTACAAGAGATGGTTTATGTGGGAAGCAAAGAAGGACATATTTTCCAAAACCTGTTTCCTCAGCTGATGGTTTCATCCTGCTTGCCTCACCCTGGTGTCTGGGACCACCCACCCAGGGTCACTCAGCCTGGCTCACATGATGACCCTGAGATTAGCTCGGTTGGCGCTAAAAACACCAAGTTCACGGGTTTGATCCCTGTGTGGGCTATTCTCTTTAGGAGCTGGACTCGATGATCCCTGTGGGTCCCTTCCAACTAGGAATGTTCTGTGGTTCTGTGATGGCAGAAAGCCCCTGGGGTCGGCATGAGGCGGAGAAACTCATCGGGGCGGGCGCTGCGCGGGTGTCCGTGTGGCTTGTTAACCCGCTCTCCGTGGGGCTCTCGTTTTGGTTTGGCAGGTTTGACACCTGGCTTTCTTCTCATTTAAAGCTGCCCCCCAGCTACCTGCTCAGCTACTCGGGCAACTACACCGACGATGCCAAGAGCTGGCGGCTGGTCGACATCACCCGCCTGACCTCCAAGTACCAGCACGACCGGGCCGACAAGCGCATCTGCACCTCCCTGCTCAAGACCAAGACCTGCAGCCTGGAGCGCGCCCTGCGCCGCACACAGCGCTTCCAGAAGTGGCTGCGGGCCAAGCGCCTCACCCCCGACCTGGTCCAGGTCTGTCTCACAGCTCTGAACCTCCTCATGCCAGCTGGGGGGAGCAGGGGGTGCCATGCAGCTTGGGGGACGAGAAATAGGGTCTGAAGGAGACGTGGCTGCAACTTGTTGGGTGGAGGGTGAGTTTGGGTGATGTTTGGCACTCTCCTTCCTGATCAGTTGGCGGAGATGGGACAGTCCCCCCTGGTCGAGCCGCCCCTGCCACAGGGGAGAAGCAAAATGAGGCTCTGATGGGAAGAAAAGTGTCACAGCCCAGGGCAAACCACACCCAGACACAGGTAAAGCCATGGCACTGCCTGGCCAGGGCTTGGGTGGGCTTGGCCACAGCAAGGAGAGCATTAGTTTCCTTGTGCAGGCTGAGGGTGAAGGCCCATGGAAAGCTGTAGCACCCACCAGCTTCGGTCACAGGGATAATATAAGGCCATGAACACAAACACGGCAATGGTTCTGGTGGGGAAAATTTCTGCCACTTTTATTTTCTAGTTTTCCATGATGTCTCAGCGTTTTAGTTTGGTTTTTTTTTTTTTTTTTTTGGTCATAAAGTTGCATCCAAAAGGGCAGCCTGTGCCTGGAAAGTGATTTTGCTTTGGGCTGGGGACCAAGCCAGTGTGGGCCCCTCCGAGCAGCGCAGGCAGTCAGAGCCAGAGCCTCGATTACTCATCCTCCTGCCATCCATAGCAAATGACCTCAGGCACTAAGAAGCTCACTGTCCTTTCTGTCGCAGTCCTGGGGTGTCACAGGTGAAGCCAGGACAGCCACACTGCTTGGGGGGGGTTGCTGCCACCAGGTAGACGGGCAGCTGTGGCACAGGGCACCCCCCTCACTCCATCAAAACAACAGCAAAACATTTCAATAACCACTGGAGAGGGGCACGGAGGAGGTTTGATATACACTAAGCAAGACCCTGAGAGGCAAAGAAGAATTATTCCAGTATTTCTTCCTCTTCCAAGAGAAAAGTGGCTGTGAAAAAGGGACTTTAGTTTTAGTTGCCTGGGCTGCGCAGAGCTGGATTCACCCAAATCACTGACAGTCAGGCACGGCAGGTCCCCCTGAAGCCAGTACCCTCCTGAGTGGCACATACCTGACAGGAAAGCATCTTTTTGGGTAAAAGCTGCACTGTACTTTGTCTAGTAACCTCAGGAAAGTCACTAGGGAGAAAATCTTGGTAAAAATCTGTGATAATCTCTAGCAGATTGAATGAGCATTTTGGGGCAAACTGTGTTAATCAATAGAGGACAGATAGGGAAAAATTTGTGGTAAAATTTGAGGTAATCTGTACAAGAGACAAAAGAACATTTTGAGATAAAAATTGGGTAATCAGTAGTTGACAGGTAGGGAAAGTTTGGGGGATAAAATCTGAGGTAATCTGCAAAGAAGAAAAAAAGAACAATTTGAGGTAGTATGTAGTGGATAGGCAGGAAAATTTGGGAATTAAACTTGAGGTAGTCTACAGGGCAAAGAATGATCATTTTGAGGTAAAAATTAGTTAATTTAGTGGAAATGCTGGGAAAATTTTTGGGGTAAAATCTGATCTGTAGCAGATAGAATGAACATCATGAGGTAAACAGAGGCAATTAGTAGTGCACAGGTGGGGAAGATTGCGGGGTAAAATCTGTAGTGATGTCTCGGGGAGAGAATGAACATGCTGAGGTGAACTCAGGTAACCAGTAGTGGACAGATTCCTATCACTCCCACTCAGAGCATCCCTCACCTGAGCTTGTGGGCCATGGGAAGGGACAATTCCCGGGGGTGGTAGGCAGAAACTTCCCAGGCACCTGCTGGCCACCACTGTCCCCCCAGGCAGCACTACAGGGGGCTGCAGGAGGGCAAGTTGGGCTGCCAGGTCCTTCAGCCTTGCTGGAGTGTCCAACACGTTTGTGCAAAACTGGGCTGCCTCCCCTAGCAGCGCTGTATGAAAGGGAAGAAGAGATTAAAACCTCCATTTGCTGAGCTGGGTGAAAAAGTAACTGGAGAAATGTGGCTCTGTGGTATCTCAGATCTGCTGCGAAGTTAAATCATTAGCTGAGCCCAAATCCTTCTCCTTAAAAGGCTCTTCGTGTGCTGTACAGTTTTCCCTACCCCATTCTCTCCGAGTCTGAACTCCCAGCTGAGCTGGCTGGGCTGGACACACACACACATAAACACACACACATAAACACACACACATGGATGCAGTGGGAAGCTGAGCTGGCTCCAGGGCCCCTCTGAAGCGAGCTCAGGGCCAGCCACTGGGGACTTGCCCAGGGACAAACTCCCTGGGACATTTCAGCAAGCCCTGCAGTTTTTTAGTCGGAGAGGGCACGGGAGGCTGCAGGGAGGCCCAGAGCTTTGCACATCAGCCTCAGGATTGCTCTGCTCATGTTTTCATGGTCCTTTTTTTCTGTAAATCAGAGAAAACCAAATTAGAATATCAATCCCTTCTAACAGAGTGTAGATTTGAATACACGGAGAAGCATTGTGATCCAGAGGACCTGGGACCTTCTCCCCCACCTCCAAATTTCAGCAGCAGTCACTTTTAAGATCAGGCATGTGCTCTGCAAAATGGCTTCTGGTCTCACAGTGGTCTAAACTGAAAAGCAGCCAGCAGCAGCAACATTGCAGTCACACTATGTGAGTAAGTTTGTAGGTGAGATGCCCTCCAGCCACCACAGGTTACGGTGTGACCTGCCCAAGTTGTCTGGCCCCATAAGATGGGGATTCCCTTCCTCTCTGGCCACCCTTCCTGTCCTCTCCCAGCCAAAAACTGCAGGAGCAGCTCTGCCTGCAGCCCAGCCCAGCACCACTGCCCCTCTGTGCTGTTTGCTGTGTTGATAACCCAGCATGAGCCTCTTCAGAGGGCTGTTTCTTGGGGGGTGCCGTACGTCACTGCAAATACTTACCTTCAGACTTGCTCTTCTGGCTTTATTTCCTCCCCTCCCTCTTTTCAGAGATGTTAACAGCACATGGATCTCGATGGCTGACACGATGCCCACTCTGTCTCACAAAGCTGCAGTCACCCAGCGGTGTCTGCGCTCCCCTCCCTGCAGTTCATCTTATACAGCAGTCACTGAGGAAAGCTAATGGGCTCAGGTGATTTTGTCCTATAGACACAGAATTGTGACAAACCATAGCGTGCTTGAATCAAAATGACAGACCATGAAGTAATGTTTTCCCACTTTACGCTGCCTGCCCTGCCTGACCCAGCCATCAGCCGAGCTGCCTGCCACGGCGATTATTTCAACCGCCACAGTGACGATCTTCATTGGACGCAGTAAAGTCTTCAGTCTTAAAATCCAGTCTGCTCAGAGATGAGCAGGATTTAGCAGGGGTTCAGCCTGCACGGCAGCCCCAGCCACCCACTGCTTTGCCCAGGAGCTCATCACCTCAAACTGTGCTGCGTGCTTTTCCTGTCGGAGGGGAAGAGCGACAACAAAGCAGGTTAATCTCAGCACAGATCGCCCACCGGGCAAATTTACAGCCCTGCCTACAAAGCACAGCCTGGAAAATGCTGAAGGCAGACAGAAGAAAGTAATATTAAGCCATCGTTTGCAGTCCCTCTCTCCAGACCATTTGAAATTACTGACCAGCATCTCTGCCTGTCCTCAGCAGACGTGCCAGCACTCTGGTTATTTGGCCTCTGAGTGGGGTACATGTTGCTTTGCTTGCTGCACATGGGCAGCAACTCACTCCTCTGTCAGCTAGCCCATTCTGGGGAAGGATGGGATCTGTGGGGCTCCCAGAGCTCCCTCCCAGACCTGCCGCCCTCTTTAACCTGGTACCTCATCATGAGGCCCATAGCATCTCAGGTCATCCTTACTTTCTTTCTCCTGGGAGGGAAGGAAACCCTTTGATTCACATGGCCAGGATCTCTGAGTGCTTTTACTCCAACCTCCAGGTGTTTCCTTCTGGAGCCCACCCTAAAGCTGCTCATTCGGTGAAGCTGCACCCGGGTGGTGGCACGTGGGGCAGGAGGCAGCTGTGCTCCTGGTCTGTGCCATCCCTCCTCGGGCTGGCTGAAGAGAAAACAGAGCCAGGAGAAGTTGTCTTTATGTCAGAGTGACTTCTGGGTACGTCTGCCCCACATATGTATAGGTATGCACACACTGAGTTTAAATTGCACCATGTACTGTGCAGTAGGGGGAAGAAAATCACAGCTGACTGCAGGTAGGCTTTGCAGAAACTGCTCATTATCAGATATAGAAACGTGGGTATTTAGTCAAAGTAAATAAGAAGCTTTCTATATCAATCACAAACAATACATCAGGCTGTCTGTCAGGTCTTATTCTCTGGCTTGATAAGACACTGCAAAGGACTGAAGATATTCTCAGATAAATCCGTATCTCCAGTGTTTTCAGTATGTGTTCTTCACATTTTTCTTCCACTGACAATTTTTGTCCGACAATTTCACAACTTCATCTCCTTTTCTGCTGTAGGGATGTTTCCATCAGTCTGCAGGAAGGGGAGACCCCACTCCACTGAAGCAGTGGAGGAGGTGCTGAGCTTTACACTGCTGACTGCCTCAGCCGAAATCAAAAGGCCCTGTTGTCAAGTTTTTGTGAATCAGGACTTAGCTAAACTATAGAAAGCTGCACCAAGGGTTGATAAAAAACGGCAGCACCCAGCTCTGCTCCTCTGCTCACACACTGGCACTGGTGTGCCTGAAATGATTCCTCAGGAAACCATCAGCAATGAGCACTGTGTGCAGTGTGTGTCCACATCTAAGCTGATGAGCTCTGACCCGGGAAAAATCCTAATTAGACCTTTAATGCCTTTCCTGTCGCTGTGATTTCTGTTCCTAATGTGTATTCTTCAGGGTCTCAGCTTCTCCTGGAGGCAGCAAGGCTTTCTAACTTTGGCTGCAAATATTTGCATACTCGTCGAGCTGCAAGAGGCTTTCTCCACCATTCATCTCTTACTTAACACAGTTCTGTTCTGCTCATTTTTTCTCACTTCTCCTCCAAAGGGAAAGAGATAGAGTGAGCCACAATCTTCCTGAAAGTGCTGAAAGACAGAAACCCATAACCAACCCACCCTCCACCCCACTTTTGTGGTTTTAGACAACTAATTGAGAAAGTATTTCCTTGATAAGGCCACACCAGAGGAGAAGGGTGTAACTAGAACAGGGGAGAATTATTTTTGACAAATGTTTTATTCTTCTTTGGGGAAAAAGGGTTTTTTGGTTGATGTGAAACAACCACACTTCAGTTGGGGTTGAGTTTCTCAGGTAGTTTTGACCAGCTATTGGCATTCAGGGCTTGTTCTGTGCAACTGATGGCCAAGGAATGGGTGGTTGGGACCTCACTGAGGCCAGCAGGGATACAGAGGAGAAGACACGGGGCATCCAGTCCCTCCTTTCCACCTCCAACTGGGAAAACGTCACGGTCCTTCTTTCCATGTTTCTTTATTTCTTTGTCATGGCTGGATAATAAAGTGTTCTATGCCAAATGAACAGCTCGCACAGGAAGGGCTGAGAGGGACCTACCTCAGAGATACCAAATGACTCGGGGAGATGCTGAGTCAAATCTTTGCTCTCAGCATGAAGGATGGCAGGGAGCGACGTGAGCTCCTGTGCCCTTTTATCTGAAAAACATCTCCCAAACAGCAAATCGTAAAGAAAATCCAAAAGGGTATATTTGGCTGGTGGAATTATTTTTAATAAAAAGGCTTAAAAAAACTTGATTCCCTTGCCCAGCAGAGGCATGGCAGGGCAGTGCTTCTGTGCCACTGTGGGCAACCCTCCATACATCCACGCTACTTGGTTATTAAGGAAGACCAACTTGAAATAAATAAAAAAAAAAAATTAAAAAAATTTTAAAAAGCTAATTTTTTACTATGAAAGTATGAATTTCCCTGCCATTTATCCCAGCCACTGATTACCTGTGCAGTTCTACAAGCCAAACTTCCAAATCTGAACGGTGAAATACAGTGATAATTGACTCCATTAGCCCAGTGGCTCTCTATTTGTTGGTGGTATTTGCAAAAAATACACACAGGCTATTCAAATTTGGTTTTGCTAGTTAATGTGTGAGTTTATCAGAGAGAGAATATATCCTGTGCTTGTACTCACACAGAGTGTTTATTTACACTTTTAAAGCGTGTTTACTGACCTTAGCAAATAGTATTTCCAAGAAAGCTGCTCACAGGTTAAGCAAATAGTGAAGAGATCTGAAGATTATTTAATGAGGGAAGTGACTCACTGTTTTAACAACAGGAGGGCCTCCACCAGGGAGCTGGGATGCCAGGGCTGGAAACCCTGGCGGAGGGAGGAGGCCTGCAGTGTGGACACACATGGTGCTTTCAACTGGGGGAATATGAGGTTTGCAGTGCCCACAGCTGTGCCATGAAGACTGGGAGCCATTCTGGAAGCCTGAGCTGTGAACAGGCATTTTTGGGTGGCACAGGTCTTTTCCCAGGAGGGGTTTGCTGTTGGCATCCCCCCGGTGTGCCTGTCCCCTTCGGAGCTGTGCCACAGCAGGTGGAGCACAGAGGTGCCCGTACCCCCCAGCATGGTCCAAGCACATTGCAACATCTCAGGCCGGAAAATAGACATCTTTGTCGTGTTTTGCCCCATCACCAGGGCCTGTCCAGCCCAATGCTGCGCTGCCCATCCCAGCGACTCCTGGACAGGATAGTGCGGCGCTACGCAGAGGTGCCGGATGCTGGCAGCATCTACATGGACCATCTCACCGACCGGGACAAGCTACGCCTGTTGTACACCCTGGCAGTGAATTCACACCCCATATTGTTACAGGTATGTACCGCCCTGCCCCACCTTGGAGCACCACCCCACAAGCCCTCACAAGCGGATCCTCCCACGAGGTGTGTGCCATCCCCCAGGTGCAGATGAGTCCCAGCCCTGACCTTCAGGCCACCCTCTGGCCTTCACAAAGTGTGCTTCTTCTATGGGTTTGGACAGTGAAGCCAAGCAGACTCCTGCAGTGTTCCTTGCATCAGCCCATGAAGCTTTGGAGAGCTAGGAATGCCCAGATCCTTAAATAAATCAGAACCCAGGCTGGTATTGTAGTGAGAGCCAGGGTTTTACACATCCCTAATACTTCACAGTGTTAAGTTTTCATTGCTTATGTATTACTTAAAATTACAATCTGTTTATGAAAGGGGAAGAGCATGCTTTGGAGTGGGAGGACCAGGATACAGCATGGATGTTGAACATGGACTTGGGGAGCACTGACTTCCCATGTTCTGTGTGCCAGTGCTGTGTTTTCCATTTGAATGCCCCTGGTGACAAGCTCCATGGCAAAGTGCAGCTTTGCAGAAGTGTTGGGTGGAATCCCTAATACAATGAACTCTGGATGTGAAGGCAGTGATCTGGGAGGTCTCACACCCCTCCCCTGTTCCCTGGCTGATGTGCCTGGCAAGTGGCTCCTCTCTTTCCTTGTGTTTCCGAGGGAGTACCCTCACCTTTCCCCACACCAGCACACCTTTAGTCCTCTTTGCTGTTTCTTGCAACGCTTCACAATTTCATGAAGAACAGAGGCAGTGGCAGCATCCTCTGTCTCTGGCCCTGTGTCACCACTACCCTCAGCAGCACATGGGGCTCTACCCTCTCCCAGGGAGGGGAGATGGTGCTCATGCTCCAGGAGACTCCTGGGGATCATTCAGCCACCCCAGCCGTGGCTCACTGGGACCTGAGGCTGTGGCTCTTAGCACTATAAAGATATGGGAATGCAGCCTATAGAGGTGAAAAAGATATGCCAAGGAATGGCTTGGTTTTACGTGGGTGCCCAAAATGCCTTTACAGCAGAAGGGAGAAGCAACCTTAAACATGAAACTGGACAAGTTCATCATGCCTTGGCAGAGCCCAGGGCCATGGATAGATGAAGTCACAGTGTAAATGACAGAAATCTTTGTGTTGGCATAGCCCAGCAGTCATACGGTTTAGTTTCCACCAGGGATAACTGAACATGCTGCAGGGATGCAGGGAGCCCAGCCCAGGTGTCCCCACCATAGCAAACACCCAGCATTTGCGTTCCTGAGACTGCAAAGTCTCCTGCAAAAGAGCCAGGCAGTTCTTACAAATTAGCAAAAACTGCTTCAGCCCCACCTCACCTCCGAGCTGTGACTTCAGCTACACAGTGTTCATGAGGGACCCATAAAAGACACCTAAAATTAGATGTTCTGCAGCTAAAATCTGCATAATTTTGAAACCCCTTATTATCTTGGACTTTCCAGCTGGTTTCCCTCTCAGAACAAGCCTTGAAATGTCAGATTCTTCCTTCATTACAAAAAGAGAAACAAAATAAAAAAGCATCATAGCTACTCCAGGACAGAGCAGCACCTTTTCCAGCTGCTGGGGCAGGGTGCGGTGAGGAAGGGTTTCGGGCTGGTTTAGCATCCAAAGCACAGCACTGGAGGGAGCTGGGTCCAAGGGCAGAGCACGGTGGCTGGAGGGCAGTGATAACCCCTGCGTTCCTTCTCTCCCTGGTAGATCTTCCCCGACGTGGAGGGGTGGCCCTTCCCACGGTACCTGGGCTCCTGTGGGAGGCTGGTGGTCAGCGCCAGCACCCGACCCCTGCGCGATTTCTACGGCGCAGCCCCCGAGGTGGCCGCCGACCTGGCCCTGCAGCTCCTCGCCGTGCTCCGCTCCATGGGCACCAACGACCTCAACTACTTCTTCTACTTCACCCACGTGGACGCTGGCACCTTCGGCGTGTTCAGCAACGGGCATCTGTTCATCCGGGATGCCAGCACGCTGGGGATCATCGACAGGGAGGAAGGTACTCAGCGGGCGCTGCGGCCGTGCGTCTGTCGCGGGAGGGCTCAGCGAGGCAGGGCGAGCAAATTTGTCACCTGCTACAGTCAACTCTGCTGATGGGTTGTTTGGTTTTGGGTTTTTTTAATAAATTAAATAATGAAAAAGTTCATGGAGAGATTTACCAGCAGCAGGTCCTGCCATGCTGGCTCAGAGTCGGGAAGGCGGCAGGTATTTTGTTTGTGCAGTCAGTGATTTGGTGATCGGCCCCCTCTGTAGCTGGCAGCAGCTTGCAGTGCACGCAGTGCTCAACACTTTCCTTTGAATTTTTCCTACATCACCCCTTTTAAAACTTTTGCCACACAAATGTCAGTAATTGCAAGTAGAAATTTCATAATTTCATTTGTTTTAAGTATTGGATTCAATTGAACTCTATTTATGTACATTTATCACATTAATAATGGTAATTATTACTATCATAACAACAAAATCTCCCTTTTGTCATTTTCACATAAAATCAAGGGTTACTAAGTGTCACCATTCACTGTTCACAGGTTATGTTGATCTAATCCACAAAGGAGAGCTAGTCAAAGACTATTCTTCCAATATTTTAACAGTTTAATTTCGCATGTACAAATTTTCAAAAGGTCTTTCCTCAGCTCACACATTCAGTTAAGTTGGTCTCAAACATTCAGAAGCAGCTGTCAGAAAATTTTCCACTGGGTTTCCTTTTCTTGTCCCAACAGCTATTACTGTTAACTTGACTCCAGCTGGATGAGGTGTTGTTGCAAGTTAATGATTTGGGTAACATGGAAAAAATTATGGGTCTGCTTATTTGTGGCAGTTTTTGTAGGAACTCCACATTTCAGGTTTGTACTCCAGTCCTCATTTTTTCTGCATCAGTTTGACTTGACAGACTCCTCTCCAATTCCTCTCTCAGGCAGTTCTGCAGAGCTCTGTCATTCAGAAAAATATACATATTTCAGGAGTGAGAAAGTTGGCCCATATACAGCTACAGCACAGAGTAATTTGTGGTGAAAGGTGCCCCACATCCTTTAGATAATAACAAATCCAGTGTTAGTACAGAGGAACAAACATCTGTGATTACCCAGGAGCTCACTACCACGTTTCCAACAACTGGTTTAATTGTCTCCAGCAGGGAGCCAGCTGATCGATGGCCAGCAGGAGCACAAAGATATATTTAGCTGCTTGACTGTGAACTGCCAGTCTGCGTTTGTGTCCTGTGACTCCATCAGGGAGAAGCACAGCCTCGTCATGGTGTGTCAAGAGCTTTTGCCCAAGCTCCTGGAGGGGAAATTCCTGCAGCCCGTGCAGGAGAAGATAGACAGCTTCCTCCAGCACTGTGCCGGAGGCCTCACCGACAACCAGGGTGTCAACGAGGCCATTGCCGAGCTGGTGGAGATCCTGAAACCTCTGCGGTCCTGCGACTCCCGTTTTGCCTACCGCTACCCCGACTGCAAATACAGCGACAAATACTGAGGGAGTGGGACCCCCTGGGAAGGACTGGGGCGGCATCAGCCCCCTGCCAGTGCGGGAAGCGAGAAGGAACCAGGGCGGATGGAAAGAGCTGCACCAAATCTGGGGTTTTCTCATCCAGGTGGAGGAGGAGGAGGGAGCAGAGTGCACGCAGGATTTATTGTCCATCTCCCAGAGATGCATTTGTTACGTGGGGTATTAGGCATGATGTATGGCTTAAGGATTATTAGCGTTATCATGAGTGACAGGGGCTACGGGATTAATAAATCTCATTCACGTATTTTGGCCTTGGAAGAGTTTTCCATCCCTCTGAAGGCAGGATGCTCTCAACTGTCTAGATAGAGGAGCTCTATTACCAAGGAAGCCTTTCTGATTGAAATGATTTATACATAATGTAGGATGGATGGAATCATTTAAGACTTTCCCTATGGCTATTTTTAATTTCCTAAAAATCATAGATATACTGGACCGCGGGATCAGCTCTATACCATCACCCATCATGGATTACTTTCATAAAATATTTAAATTTTATTTCTTTTATGGCACGCAGAACAGAAAGACACAATCAACAGCGTTAAAAAACTGAAAGGTCCTCCCATGTCTCTTGAGATTTAATTTCTCTAATCCCCAAATATAATTACTTCTAGTCTTTCCCAAGCTGATGGCCAGTAATTGGAGACTAATATGGGTTTTTAGTTTAAGATCTGGGAAAAAAATCAGCTCTGGGATACGATTGTTCAGCAGATACTCTCACATTTTTCTCCCTAAAGAAGAGTGGAGGCACCATTTGCACAAAACCATTCAGATGGGAAAATTGCCTTAAGAGGAGAAACAACACAGGCAGAGGATGAGATGTTGGTTTACACTGAGTCAAACACTTGTTGAGCACTCAGTACTCCACTGTACGTGATTAGGGACCCCTCAAGAACTCATAGAATCATAGAATCATAGAATCATAGAATAGATTGGGTTGGAAAAGACCTCCAAGATCATCAAGTCAGGGGGGTTCTAAGTTGTGACCAGTAAGTACAGCCATCCTCATTCATTTGCCTTTCAAAGGAGAAATTGGTGAGCCAGTCCCCAAAGGAGTGACTCAGGCACTTAAAATTTTCAGTGGTGGATTTCTTTCACGGCAGTGGTCAATCCAGGGCTAGATACAGGTGTGGTAGAAGTTGCAAAAGTCACAAAACACAACATCCTTATCCAGAATCTGCCAGTCCCCACCATGTGAGCTCCCTGTGGGGTGTCAGAGGCCCACACAAAACCTTCCCTGATGCCTAGAGGGTCTGCCAGACCTCACCTGGTATGGGGCTTCCTCCTGGGATCCAGGTGTGCAGGAGTAACAAAGCAAATTTGACTGAGCTGGGTCAGAAACTGGGCTTTCTGGATCACCCTTAAGTATTTTCCTCATGGAAAGTGCCTTCCTGTAGCTGTGGTTTGAGAAAGAGATCGGCAACAGCAACAGCATAAAGGCAGAAAAATATGTGAGTCGTTTGCATTGCCAATCGTTGTGCTGAGTTGTGTCACACAGAGCAAGAATGCAAGTCAAGATCCAGCCTGGGGTTCAAGTCAGGGGTGCTTGAAGGTTGACAAGACAGGTTGCACATTCTAAACCACAGGCACAGGTCTGATACTGGGGAAATCTGGCCCAGGACAATTATTTTGCCTTTCCTCCTGGCATAAAGTATCAAGTGCACCTTTTACCTCCCAAGATGTAGAAACATTGAAAATAATTTGTAGGTAAATTTAGCTGCAGGCCCAGATGGTCAGACAGCAAAAATGTTTAAATATACAGCCTCAGCTACGGCTACAGCCCTCTTTCTTGGTTTCAGTCTATTTCTACATCATGGCTCTCTTCCAGAAAGAAAAACATGTCCTTCACTGAGATCCATCAGGCTGTCTAACAATCTGTTTTCATCAGTTTTTCTGGAATCCGTCTGCGTCTCCAGTCTCTTGGTGTGTGGTTTTACCTGATAGCTGGTGATCAGGTAAAGATCTGGCCTGGTCCATGCAGCTTCCAGCAGAAGTGATTTGCCAGCCATGAGTCTTGCAGCTGCTCCATGACTCAGGCTGTCCTCTGATTCAGTGTTCTCTGTTTAAGCAATGGCTTGAATTGCCCTGAAAGGAGGAGAAACCCTTGCAACTCTGGGTTCACTGCTCTCCCACGTGTCCTGGGTATTTTTTGTTTCCCCACACACATTTTCCTGTTGGGGATGAGCTGTTCCTCTGCTGTATGGCCCTGTGCAAAGTGTCTCCTGGGCAGGAGGGCACCTCTCTGCTTCAAAACCAGCCCAGGCAAACACAGAGGGAATGTGTGTGCTCAGCACCTTAGAGAAGCTCAGATCCCTCAGGTCTAATCCAGCACTGGGAAAAAGGACTGAGAAGTGTCCCATGGGCTTTGCTGGGCACAGGTAACTCGTGATCCAAAAGAGTTGGGATTAAGAAATAGAAGATCTGTGGTTTTTGCTTTGCTGCTTGAACTCAGCTGGCAAGTCTGCAAGCAGAAGCCTTGAGGCACGTAGCATCTATTTTTACAGGGCTCGATTCAAAGTTGTTAAAGCTGAGAGGAGTCTCCCCACCGCTTTAAATAGACCTTGGTACGAATTTAAATTAAAAAAAAAAAATCCATGATTAAAAATAACTAAATCATGGATTCAC